GTACTCTGATGATTCTCTTCTCTTCCTGGGCTGCTTCGGGCACTGCCACCCCAGGTGCCCCATGGCCAGGCTGGCCAGGAGTGGTGCTGAGCCACTTTTCATGGCCAGCATTTCCATGGGAAGCATCCCTGGCACGGCAGCCCCTGCCCGGCCCGCAGTTCACAATCGATGCTGCTTCTACGTTTGTGTCGTCAGGGATGGGGAAATGCCCCAGAGCAGGGTTTGTGCGAGCTAAAGCCATTTTTCTTTGTACATTTCTTACAATAAACAACTGTAAATGATCTCTTATTACGGTACCAAGTTTGTTGGGGCATCTTGAGGGGGGGATATATTTTTGTAGTGCAGAGCTTTAACGCACTTTATTGATGAGGACCCACAGTATAATTGGGAAGTCAATATTTATCTGCTTGTAGATATTGTATTCTTTTTTAAAGGAGCTGTACCCCCTTTAAATTGCCTTTAATTCCCTTCATTAGGTTTCCTTGGAGAAGAATTGAGAGTGAACTTAGATTTGTTTCACAGGCAACACCCTCCAACACCCCTGTGCTGGGAGGGGTGAACACCCCTTCCCTTGACTCCCTGTGCTCAGCCAACCTCAGCAGGACCTGGGGGTCTCATCCTGCACAGGAACCTCCAGGGCTGTCCTCTGAGACCTCCAGCCCAGTTCCCAGAGCTTCTGCTCATGATCCCATCCCCAGGAGCCACAGGAGATGCTGCTGTGGGCTCCGCCAAGGACAGAGGAGGGTTTGGAAGCGTGGGGGATGTGGGACCCTCCCCGTGGAGACACCAGGTTCCCCTACAACCCCTATCAGGGTTGCTGTGAGCACAGAGGTCTCGAGGGGAGACTGAGCCCCTCAGGGCCTTTCAAGTGTGCCAGGGAGGCCTTGGGCAGCACAGATTTGGCCACTGTCACTGCAAACCCTCTTCAGTTTGTGCCCCACTCCTGCTTTTACCTCCCAGGGCTTTCCCAGGCACCTCCAGCAGCCCAGCTTCCATCTGCAGCCCCAGAACCCCATAAAAACCCCTCCTGTGCCTGCCAAGCACATGGGCATCCCTTCCTCTTTGCTCTCCTGGGATATCAGGGCCAGGCTCTGCTCTTCCACCCAGACCAGGGGTAATGGCAGCAGGGACTTGGCAGCACTGCCCTGTATACAGAACCAAGAGAAGGCACCTCTCCCATCATCATGCCCTTATGGAGCCAGTTTTTCTCTGGAAAATTTTATTTTTTGCTTCCTGTCCCTTTGCATGCAAAGTCAGGCTGGGGCTGGTACCCAGCACCCATCAGATGCTCGGAACTGGCAAAAACCCCAGCCAGGCTGCAGAAGATGAAGGTTTGGGGAGGCCCCGGGCAGTGGCACCAGGCCCTGGGGACCAACAGCACTGGCAGAAGTACCCAGAGGTGTTTTTCACTGGAGTTACAGTTCAGTGCTCACCCAACGAGCAACAACGGGGGGGCAGAGCCTGGGGGAAATGCTCCTGCAGCAGAGCTCACCTCGGGGGCCCTGCTGAGCTTCCCTGGGCCTGGCTGTGCCAAAGGTCCCATGGAGAAGGATCTTGGAAGTGGAGAAGGGGTGGGCATGGCTGGGACCCAAGTGACTCCTTGTTTTGGCCATTTCCCCATCTCATCTTCCCCCTGGAAGTGCTCAAAAAATGTGGATGTGGCACTTGAGGACATGGGGGGGTTAGTGGTTATCATGATGGTGCTGCTGAGCTGATGATCCTAAAGGTCATTTCAAACCACAGTGATTTTGGGATTGATTCACGCTTCTCTGATTTTAGATTTCTGGACTCCCTGGGATACAGGGATGGGAGCTGAGGGACCCATCCCACAACAACCAACCCCACAAACATGCCCTATTCTTATCCCATTCCTGCTGCAGCTCTTGGCTTCTGGGCCACCATCAATCCCTGCCCATCCCCTTCAGGGCCAAACACCCTGGGGGGATCTGTGGAGCTGGGGGGGAGCCCTGGGGGTCACTCCCATCCTGTCCCGCCCCAGAGATGTGACCAGAAAGCACCAATCCCATTCCCTGGGCACATCCTGTGCTCAGCCAGGTTTGGCACCTCCTGCTTTGCAGATGGGCTCATCCACAGCTCTGCTGCACAGCCAGTCCTGGCCACCCCCAAGGAATATTGGCACCACAGGGAGCCAGCAGGGGACACCAGGGTGGACAATGCCCAGGAACAGGAGCATGGATGAATCCCAGGGACAGGGAGTGGACAATGCCCAGGGACAGGAGAGTGGATGAAGCCCAGGGACAAGAAGAGGGAGAATGCCCAGGGACAAGAGGATGCAATGTCCAGGGACACAAGGATAGATAATGCCCAGGGTCAGGAGGGTGGACAATGCTGAGGGACACGGAGATGGACAATACCCAGGGACACAGAGATGGACAATGCCTGGGGACAGGAGGATGAACAGTACTCAAAGACAGAAGGATGGACAATGCCCAGAGACACAAGGATAGACAATGCCCAGGGACAGGAGGATGGACAATGCACATGGACAGGAGGATGCGATGCCCAGGGACACAAGGATGGACAATGCCCAGGGACATGGAGAGGGACAGTGCCCAGGGACAGAAATGTGGACAATGCCCAGGGATAGGAGGATGGACCATACCCAGGCACAGAGAGATGGACAATGCCCAAGGACAGGAGGGTGGATGAAGCCTAGGGATACAGAGATGGAAAATGCCCAGGGACAGGACAGTGGACAATGCCCAGGGACAGGAGAACGGACAATGCCCAGGGACAAGGAGAGGGAAAATGCCCAGGGACAGGAGGATGCAATGCCCAGGGACAGGACCGTGGACAATGCCCAGGGACACAAGGATAGACAGTGCCCAGGGACACAGAGATGGACAATGCCCAGGGACACAACAATAGACGATGCCCAGGGACAGGAGGATGCCATGCCCAGGAACACAAGGATAGACGATGCCCACGGCCCCGGGGCTCACAGGCTCCCCAGCGTCTGCACCACATTCAAAAGCAGCCCCCAGGGAAAGTCCCCGGCGGGGAGGATTTACATGAGCAGGAAAGGGGCCGTGCTCAGAGCAGCAGATTTGCCATTTTTAGGTGCTGGGGCCAGGGTGGTGGAGCAGCCGCTGTTTCTGCAGAAGCACAGGTTGGATGTTTTCCTGCCCTGGGCACTGAAGTATGGCTGCTCTGGGCACGAGGCTCTGGCTGCTCCCGGTGACCCTCTGGCTGCTGCCTCTGCTCACAGGTAGGCACCAAATGGGCTCTGCACTCGAGAGCAAGGAGCCAGGACACTGCCCTGGGCTGTGCGCCCTGCTCGGGGCCTTCCCCTGCTCTGCCTCTCAGTGCAATGATTTTGAGCTTTGTGCTGGTCTCTCTCAGCCCTGCTCTGTGCTGGGAGCCTCACAGGGAGCCCAGGAGGGCACACAGGGCTCAGAGCCCAGTGCCTGTCTGGGGTTTGGGTTTGGCTTCCCTCGGGGTGTGCAGGCAGGACATTGTGGGGCAGGCAGGTGGCTTGGGCTGAGCGGGTGCAGAGCCAGCCCAGCCGGGGCTGCAGGTGGCAGGAAAGAAGGGTTGTTGAGGTTTATTAACCATTTATTACTCTCAGAGGCCTGGGGATGGGGCTGGCACATTGCCTTGGGTACAGCCTCTGCTCTGTGGGGTTCAGTGCCCAGGAGCAGAGGAGAAATGGCAGGAAAAAGGCATTTGCAGTGATTTGTGAAGTCTGTGTGAACATGTGCACTGTTCCCCTTGGAGAAGCAGCAGCAACAGCCAGGACATGGCTCCTGTCCCCTTCCAGCTCACAGGGACAGCTACAAGAACCTGCAGCAGATCGCACCCTCAGAAGGCAGCATGTGCCCAGGGGACAACAGGAATTTAAAGGGTTCCTCTGGTGGCCAAACAAGTCCAGCATGGATTCAAGGCTGCAGGGTTTGAACATGGCTCTCATGATGATTTTGGGGCAGGATGGGGAAGTTCAGCCCTCCTGTGGCTGCAGTGGAACCCTCAGAGGGGTGTGAGGGACCAGCCTGGCTTTCCTTTAGAACCTGGGGAGCAAAGCCCTGGCTGGTGGCACTGCAGGTGACAGGGATACAGCCAGGACAAAGGGCATCTCCCAGCCTGAAACACAATGGGATGGGGCTGGAAGGGAGGATTTGCCTGCAGAGATGACAGTGCTGAACGTGGGCAGGGCAGCAGGGACCTGGAAGGGGCTCTGGGGCAATGAGAGGAGCCCCTGCCCAAGCCAGGAGTCTGCAGGAGGCTGGCACAGAGCTCAGCCTAGGGAACTGAACCTTTCTTCTTCTTTTTCTGTTCCTCCTTCTCCTTCTGGGGACGGGGAGGTTTGCAGCTGCCCTGCAGGGAGGTGCTGCAGCCCCACCTGGTGCCAGCTCCTCCACAGGGTTTGGTGAATCTCCATCGAGAGGAGGGAACGAGGCACTCAAGCGGGGCAGTAAACAGGGCTGGGGCTTCCTGCCCAGCTGCAGCAAGAGGAACCAGCCCAGCGGCACTGGAGCTGTGGGCAGGGCACCCGTGGGTGCTGGGGGGTCCCCACCTGCCCCTGCTTCCTGCACTGCAGGCCCACAGCACCAGCCCTTGTCCCAGGGGACTGTGTGGCCACGGGATCTGGGGACACCCCTGGCCACCACAGGGCTCTGAGCCAGGAGATCCCAGCAGGGAAGGGTTCCTGGTTGGTTCAGGGAGTGGGGATGCAGGGCTGGGAGTATCTGGAGCCTTCCTGAGAGGCACCAGCCTTGGGGACACTATAGCGAGTGGATTTCACTGGGGTATCAACCAGAAAACAAGATGGAAAACTTTCAGGAGACGGTATGGAAACCAAAGGGTTTGTACCCAAATCTGTGCTGCCCCAGGCCCTCTGAGCAGGAGGCAGCTGTTGTCCTGTTGTTGCTCCATCCCTATGGAGTGGGCAGGAAGGGCCAGGGCACATCCATCCCTCTGGGGACATCCTGGTGGGCTCCTGGCCATGCTCTCAGGCCCTTCTGTCTTCTTGCAGGTGGGACCCCAGCAGAGAAGAACAGCACTGAGAACAGCACAGGTACCCCTAGACCCGCTGGGCTCCTCCCCTCCGTGTGTCCCCAGGGTCCCACAGAGCTGCTGTCCCACCCCCCATGGGCCTTTCCATCCCAAAAGGCATTCCCAGGCTGTGATATCCCCCATGGCTCATCCCCAATCCTGCTCCTTCCTCCCCCTCTGCAAAGCCAGATCTGCTTTGATTTTCCTGAGCACCCACAGGTTTTCCCTCTGCATGGCCAAGTCTGGGACCAGCAGTGGCCTTGTGCCACTGTCCTTGGCCATTCCCACCCATGGGGCCCTAAGGGTGACCTCTGCAACCCAAAAGGGCTCCTAAAGTCACCACTCTGGGACTAAAACATGGCCAAAAAAATACATAATAAAGCAAAAGGCCAAAAAATGTGGAAGAAAAAGAGAAACCAGCTGGGATTCCACAGGCTGTAATTTTGGAGCTGGGATTAACTCAATGTGCACAGAGAGGGGTGGGAGCAGGACAGGAGTATTGGAGCAGAGGTATTCCCACAGAAAATTGGAGTTTCCATTATGATGCCTTGTGAAGGCTGAGCAAGAACAGAGACCAGACAGAGCTGAAGGATATCAGGGCAATCCCAAACCTGGGAATGATTGGCATCTGAATCCAAGGCTTCAGAATCCTGAACAATCCCTTTATTAAAACTATACTATATGATATCACAACTATAATAAAGAGATACACACTATACTATATCATACTTATTTCTAACTACTGAAGAATACTAAAGAAAACTCATGACTGGCTCCCAACAGCCAGGACACAGTTTTGTGTGATTGGCCAAGGAAACAAAACAATCCTCAGCAGTTACCAAATCCCTTCAGGTAAATAATCTTCCAACACATTCCACATGTTCACAAGCACAGGAGCAGCAAATGAGATAAGAAATGCTTTGATCATTCTTTTCTCCACTTCTCTCACAGCTTCTGTCTGTTCAGAGGGCATGTGAATACCACACAGGTTTATTTATTTATTGGAAGGCCTCAATGGATCCACCTTGGGCAGCACAAGAGCCCAGCCAGGGCTGCACCCCAGGTCACAAAATGGTCACAAAATGCCCCACTGGTCATGGGGTCTCTCACTTTCATAAGTTCTGCTCCATTTGCATATTGGAGTTGATTGTCCAATTCCGGCTTTAGCCCATGCAGTCCCATCCTGCTTGTTTTTTTCTCTTCAGTTCACGTTGTTTGTGCTTCTGGGCCTGAGATTTGGATCATTTGTCCTTGGTCCCCAGCTGGAGAAGGAATTGTTTTGTCTCCCTGCTCTGTGCAGAGAGCTCACCATCCCCTAATATGAAGCTCAGAGCCACCCCACTAAAGCAGCACAGAAAAATATAAAAGTTAAAACCTGAGGCATCAGTTAAAAGCAGACTTCCACCAGAAGCCACAGATCTCATGGAATCACAGAATATCCTGATTGGAAAGCACCTCCAGGGATCATCCAGTCCAAGCCCCAGCCCTGGCCAGACCCCCCAACAATCCCACCCTGGGCATCCCTGGGCATGGGGTCCAGACCCTCCTGGAGCTGCAGCAGCCTTGGGGCTGTTCCCATTCCCTGGGGGATCTGGGATGAGGATAATTCACCAAAACCAATCTGGACGCTCAAAAGCAGCATGAAAACAGGAATGGGGGGCTCTCATGGGTGTCTGCAGTGACAGCCTTGTCCCCTGCAGATGGCATGTGTCCCTCGGTGCACCAGAACGTGCGGTATGTGGCCGTCAAGAAGAACATGCCCATCTACTTCGTGTGCTACTCCCAGCAGCCCCAGGACATGCAGTGGTACAAGACAGCAGAGAAGAAGGAGGACCTCTCTGTGCTGGATCAGAACACGGCCAGGTACCACGTCGAGAGGACAAACACCTCCATCAACCTGACCCTCCTCAGGACCAGCTCCGAGGACAACGGGATCTACGTGTGTGACAAGAAGGGCCTGACGCAGAAGGAGAAGCTGCACTCATGTGGGACAGAGCTCCGGGTCATGGGTGAGTGAGTGGCAGCTCCATTTGGGCACCAGTCTGTAAAACATCAGGGGGTAGGAGGGTCAGGACGAATGGAGATGAGAAATCTCTGCAGCCAGGTTGTGGAATTTGGGGTTTATTGCAAATGGCCTGGGTGCAGGGCCCTGCTGGGAGCTGCCAGCCACAGCTCAGAGCAGGCCCAAGAGGAGAGAGAGGTAAAGAGAGAGAAGGCAAGAGTGTGGTAAAGAGATGAGAGAGTAAGAGTAAAGACAGTAAAGAGAGAGTAAAAGAGGACGAGGTTCCTGTTACAATAAATCTTCTTCTGGTCGTGGAACTTGGGGTTTGTTGCAAAGGGCCTGAGTGCAGGGCCCTGCTGGGAGCTGCCAAACACAGCTCAGAGCAGGCCCGAGAGAAGAGAGGGTGAGAGAGTAAGGGAGTAAAAAACGTAAGAGCATAAAAGGGTAAGAGAGTGAAGTTTCTGATACAATACAATAAATCTTCTTCTGTGCTGAATATTTTAATTCTCACTAACCAATCTAGTACAAGATACAAATCCTATAGCATTTACATACAGCCTATAAGAATCATTACATTACCATACTGGGTTATATTTTAAACCTCTAAAAACTCCTCTTTGGGCCCCTTCTGCCAAGCTGTAGGGTCTGCTCTGACCCTTGGGCCTGCCTGCAAGCAGAGAGTGTTGTTCCATCAAAAGGGGATCACCTTCAGCCAGCCACATCATTGTTTTCCAGTTGTTCAGTAACTGAGGGATCTCAAAGCTTGCTTTCATTTCAATCTCACTTATAGTTTCCATATTCTCAAAATCTTTTGCCAAACAATCATATTTATAAGGCTTTCCTGTTTCATCTTCCCCAACACTCTCCCATTTCCCTCTCCATGGTGCTCCCACACCTCCTCCTCTCCCCGTGCTGGTGGGACCCTCTCTGACCCAGCTGTGGGTGCTCTGTGGCACCCCAGAGGTTCCATCCCTCACTGCCAGCCCCAAGGAGCAGGACAACCTCCCTGGGTCTGCCCTGGCATAGCCATCCTGCACAAACCAGGGACATGTTCCTCTAATAAATCAGATTTGTCATGCTCCTGGTGGTCCCTGATGCCAACCCTGGGGGCAGCTGCAGTGCTCTGGTCTCTCCCAATGCAGAGGACAGGTCACTCTGGTCCCCACATCCCCCTTGGTGACACACTCTGGCCTTGGAGAGCTCATCCTCCCCTGCAGCCTGGCCCAGAGGTGACCTGGGCTCTCCCTGTGTGCTGCTCCCAGGTACCAGCAGCATCAAGCAGTTCCAGAACAGGAACACACTGAAAGATGCCATCATCATCATCCAGTCCATCCTGCTCGTCGTCTTCATCAGCATCCCCATCCTCCTCTTCCTAGACAAGGCAAGTGACAGTGCCTCCAGCAGAGGGGATGTCCCCAGTGTCCCGCAGTGCCTCCCAGGCAGGCCAGTCCAGGCTGTGGGATGGGTTTGGGGTTGTGAGTGGTTACATGGATATCTGAAATGGGAACAGACCCATCTCAAATGCTGTGTGGGGACTCCATGGATGTGCCTGAGGAAGTGCTGGGACCTGGCCTGGGGGAGCAAGGCTGGGGACAGGGGATCCTGGCAAGTGCTGACCCCAACCTGTGACTCTCCATAGGGTGAAGAGAAGAAGAGGCCAGAGGAGGACCACACCTATGAGGTAATTCACGATAGCAGGACCTCTCTAACATCACCTGAGCCTTCACACAGGGGGTTGTGCCCCTGCTGGGTGTCTGCTGGGGCTCACCTTGTAGTCCCTTCCTTGGGACAAGGATCAGGGCACCTTCCTCCCAAATTACACATCAGCTGTGCTGAGCTGCCCCAGGAAGCACCCAGTGCACACCCAACATCCAACACCCACCATGTCCATTCTCTGTCCCTGTCAGAAGCTGCTCCAGGCTCAGGGAGGGTCCCCAGTGGGTGTCCAAGGGATGTGCCATGCTTGGAGCCTCCTGCCATGTCCCTCCCTCCTTTGTTGTTGCTGCAGGGGCTGGAGGTGGAGCAGATGGCCACCTACGAGGACATCACTCCTTTCCGGGACGTGAAGGCCAAGTGGACGGTGGGGGAGCGCCCAGGTGAAGAGTGAGGGGTCCTGTGCCCCTGCCAGCCCTGCCAGCCCCCGTGGCGACAGATCCCCTGGAGCACAGCTCTGCCTGGAGCCCAGGCTGCCAACACCTGCACAGCCCAGGGCTGGGAGCCCGTCTGGGGTGCTCATGTGTCTGGCCTGTGTCCCCGAGGCTGCCCTGCCCCTTTGTCACTGTCCCCACCCTGCTGACCGACCCCTAAAGCCTCTGTAGAAATTAGGAGCCACCTGTGATCCCCCTGGTCACACAGCCTCAGCACTGAGCTCCAGCTGGGCAGTGCCAAGGAAGGGCTGGGAATGAGGGCTCTGCTCCAGCCCCACCACCCCGGGAAGGACAGGAGCAGGCACTGCAGGGACACTGCCAACAGCACTGTGGGGCTGTTGTGAGAAGTGAATTTCAGGCCACTCTTCAGCTGCCAAAGCCAAGGCTGTGTCCAGAGCCCCAGCTGGCAGAGGTCTGAGGTGCAGAATCCCCCAAAAGCACCTCCTGTTCTCCAAAGACTATGGAAGAGTTGGGCAGAAAGGTCTGTCCCAAAGGCTTGCTGCTCCCCAAGCAAGAGCTGGCCCCTGCCACGAGGTTGTCCCCATGGTGAGGGACATGTGTGACCTCAGAACATCTGGGAAAACTGTAAATTGTGGGACACAAACCTCCAACTGCTTTTGAAGTCCTAATAAAGGCAATGGGTGAATCCTCATCCTGCTCCATCCTGCTGAGCCCATTCCAGGGGTGTCCCATAATCCTGGCGCCGATTTCCTGGGAATAATGAGCAGCTTTTTGGGTCCAGCTTAGCAGGAAACCAAACTTCACCTCTTCAAACTTCCCCCAGAGGGCAGGCAGGGGTGGAAAACCAAGAGCAGATGTGAGGCTGCCCATGGGGACCTCCACAGTGCCAAAACATCAGCTTGGGATGGGACAAAGACAATCACCAGGATCCAGAGCAGGACCAGCAGCTCCACTCTCAGCTAGATCTGGGCTTGAAGGAGAAGCTAAAAAACACCTGGAGATTGGGTTTGTCATTGAATTATCTTGGCATGGCAGCAACAGCTGAGGGTGGTGGGCTCAGAGCCAGCTGGGCACCAAAACCGGGTCTGGGGGCTTGGCTGGACAAGGGTGACAAGGACATTGTGGCTCAAACTGTCCCAAGGCGTCTGTGTCCTGGTGTTCCACGACATTTTTGGCTCCAAGCAGCTCCTGCAACTGCTCTGCACCCCAAAAACAGCCAAAGAAGGGTAAAATTCTAAGCAAAAAAATGCTTTTCAGAAGTAACAGGATGGTTCTTTACCAGTAAAGCAACTCTGTGGAAAACTGGAATTCAGTTTAAACAGCACAAAACACAGCATTTTGGAATTGATTTGTACTAGTTAAATAAAATGACCCCAAATTAATTCTGCCACATATATATATAAGTTATTTAAGCACATTTTACTTATAAAATTGGTTAATTTAAAAAAGGAACATCACAGGGAGAGAAAAGAGCTGGCTGTTCCTGGTTTCCATGTTTGCCAAGATTTTAGGACTAGCAGAGCTCATCCCTCCATTCCTTGTTTTCAGTTGCCAAATGAAAGATGGAAGTTGGTTTGGTTTTTTTTTTTTTTTGCTGGCCTTCCCAGCTCCAGATTTCTCAGGTCTCTGTAAATAACTCACTCAAGTGACTCAACAGAATAATAGAAAAAAATAAAGATAATTTGCTGTTTGCACCTGGTGAGTAACCACTTGTGTCAAAAAGCAGTTTTTGTCACCCAAGTCCTGCTCTGCTGCTCTCTCAGCTCAGGGCTTTGGCCTCCTTTAAAATGCCAGAAGTAAATAAAAATTTCTGTAGTGTTGTTGGTTTATTTGAATTGCCTGGAGTAGTTTCTAAGGAGCCTGGAGATGCCTGGGGTTCATTTCATTCTATATTGAGAGTGGTCTGCATTTAAAACATATTTAATGTAAATAAATATATCAGTCTATACAGCCCAGGCTCTGTATTTTGTCCTGATTTCTATCATTGAATCATGGAATCACACAGGCTGGAAAAACCCTCTAGGATCATTGTGTCCCCCACCACTAGCCCCTGTCCCCAAGTGCCACATCCACACACCTTTTAAATCCTTTCAGGGATGGGAATGCTCCCACTGCCATGGCTGGATTTCCCTAATATCCAATCTAAACCTCCCCTGGCACAGCTTGAGGCTGTTTCCTCTTGTCCTTGGGAGAGGGGACTGACCCCACATGGCTACAAGCCCCTTCCAGGTAATAGTAGGGAGAGAAATTCCTGTTTTCCATAGGGATGCTCAGGCAGACAGGTGGGGCTGCCTGGGGAGCTGAACCTGGGGGTTCACCCTCATTTTCACAGGAAAACCCAGCAGTTCCACCTCTGGTAAATAATCCCCATAAATCTGAAATGCAATTTCTTCTTGGAGCAGTGAGTTATGAGAGATAATCCCCACACCCCAAACCTTCTGCAGAGCTCAGCAGCAGCTCCTCGGTCAGGATTCCCTGGGCTGGGGACCACCAGAATCCCGGGAGCACACCCAGGAAAAGCTGTTTCACCTGTTTAAAACCTCATGGTTTTAAGGTTTTAAGGGGAAAGGTGGGCGGACATGGAGCCATCCTGAAGAGAATGGAGGGATTTTTTCTTTTCCGAGGAATGTGGAAATCATGCAGTGTGACGCTGCTTTAGACGGCTCGGGAATGCAGGAATTGCAGAGCCAAAAATTGGTCCGGGTGAGGTTTGGGAGCCGCTTGTGCAACCGCGGCTCTGCCTCTGACCCGGCGCTCGTCAGGCGCCGCTTCTGCCTCATTTACTGCGGGACAGCGCGGGCACAAAGCCAGTCCCGGGACAAAGCTCCGTGCCGGGACCGGGACAAAGCCAGCCCGGGGGAGCGGAGCGTTCCGTGTCGGGACCGGGACAAAGCCAGCCCGGGGCAGCGCTCCGTACCGGGACAAAGCCAGCCCCGGACAAAGCTCCGTGCCAGGACAGAGCCAGTCCCGAGGAGCCTGGCCCCGCTCAGCCCGGCCCCTCCGTGCCGGACCATGCTGGTTTAGCACGGCTCTGACCCAGAGCTGCGCAGGACGCGGGATCTCCACTGACACAGCGGCGTCATGCAGGGCTGGGCTGGGCTGAGCCCTGGCGGGTTTAAACACGAGCTGGAGCACAAAACACAAAAACACGCCCAGATGTTGCCGCCGTGGGGTGACGGGACACCTGATAGCGCAGGACCCGCTGTTCCCTTCGCTGCCGGGAGTGACATTTCCCTGTGACACCACCGCGTCTCCAGCAGCAACACCCGGGGATTCTCGGAACAGCCCTGCTCCTCTCATGTTTATCGAGCAGCTCTCCTCGCTCTCCTCCCGCAGCTCCAGCGGCTCCGGGGGTGATGCTGCTGCTTGGAAACCAGAGCCACACACAGCAAACGGGGGGCCTGGGCGAGCCAAATCACCCCCGGACACAGGACACCCCCTGAACACCAAACAAAGGCCAAACCAGTTTGGTTTGGGGCTTTATGTGGAATAAAAATCCTTTAAATACCCCTGGAGCTGCCCATCCCAGGTTCTGTTTTGTTTTTCTCAAGAGCAGGGATGGGTGGGCTGTGTCCTCTCTTCTCCAAGGCCAGGCTGGACAGGGCTTGGAGCAGCCTGGCACAGGGGGAGGTGTCCCTGCCATGGCAGGGGTGGCACTGAGTGGGCTTTAAGGTCCCTTCCAACCCAAACCACTCCATGATTCTGTTATTCCCTTCCCCATCTCCTCTTCCCCATCCCTCCTATCTGCTTTCCCCACCATTCTTCTCCTTAATCCCACAGTGTTTCATGTTTGCATCTCAGGCAGAGCAGGAAGAAGCTCATGACCAGGTTTTCCCACAGCCTTGTCCAGCTGAGAATCAGAGAAAGCTCCCAGAGCTCTGGATTTGCAGTGGGCAGGTTGGAATCCAAACCAGCACCCAGGGCAGGACAGCTCCTTGTCTCCCCTGTGACAAACCAGCTCAGCGAAAGTGTTGGCTGAACTTTTGACATTTTGGGAGAAATTGAGAGCAATTCCTTGGCAGAAATGGGATTCATCTGACAATATCCAGCCAGCTCTATCCCCACAAACAACAGAGAGGAAAACATTGCACAATTACGAATCTTTTAGGTTGGAAAAGGTTTCCAAGATTATCAGTCCAACCATTCCTCCAGCACCACCAAGGCCACCATTAACCCTTGTCCCCAAGTGTCACATCCACACAGCTTTAAATCCCTGCAGGGATGGGGACTCCACCACTGCCCTGGGCAGCTGCGCCAGGGCTGGACACCTCTTTCAGGAGGAACTTCTTCTCAATATCCAACCTAAACCTCTCCTGGTGCCACTCTCCGCTTTCTTTAAGCCAGAAATGTCCCAGGGTGAGTGCTCATGCCTGTGGGCCAAGGTGGCAGAGCCAGGCAGGAACACCAGGAGGACACAACCAATCCCACCACGATCTCATCTGGGCCTTGCTGTGATGAGGAAACCTTGAATTGCAATAAGCAGGAGAATATGGCGAAATCATGGAGCACTGGTCTCATCCTGAGGCAAACAAAGATCCCCAAGCTGCACATCTGTGAAAAAGCCTGGGATGAGGTAGCACCACTGTGAACACTGATGCATTTATGCAGGGGGAAGGTGCAGAGCTGTTGTTGTGATCATGGACACACAGATCCATTTTAAACAGACCCCCTGCTATATAAGGGGGGGCTCCACAGTTTCCTTCACCGGGTGAAAGAAGGAAACATTCCCAACCAAGCCACATCTGAGCAACTCACCAGCAGAAATGGCTCCAGGTACATTTTTTTTTCAGTTTTAAAGGATTTCCAGTACTGGGTGTGTAGGGTGACAGGACATGATGATGATGGGGTTGTTCTGTGGTGGGCTACACACACTTCTTACCATTCCTAAATTAAAATATGTCAATTTCTAAATCCATGAAAAAGAAAACCTTTCTCTGAAGTGTGACTCTAATCCACTAATTAATCTTTAACCTAAAGTGGGCAAGGAGAGTGTTGTGAGCTGAAATAACAAGATCAAGCCAGTTGTAATAATTACTATTACCATAAATGTTGGCAGGGATAATAAAACTCATATTCCAAACCTCAGGCAGGGATGAGGATGATGTCTAATAATGTCCAAGTCCTACAGGCTCCAGGGCATTCCTCTTCCTGAGGGTTTTGGTTTCAGATGAGCTTTGTGGACTGTGTGAGCACAGGTGGACATTTGTGTTGGGTGTCATGGGCTGAAAACCTTTAGGCTTGACCATGATCACCAAATGCTAAACGTATGACCCAGGGACCAAAAGCAGCTGGTCACAGCACAGGTGATGCCAGCCAAGGCAGGGACAAGGCCTAGGGGAAAACATCAGGGAAAACCACAGGGACACCCCTTATTTTTCATGGAGCAACCACAATTCCAGCCAGGAAGGCGCTGCTGGTCTCACTGGGAGCAGCCCCAGCCCTAAGAGCAGGTCCAGTGAAAGGGTCTTCCTCAATTTTGGGAGGGCTGAGCCCACAGTATCCAACAGGGCACTATGGAAGGTGAGCATGGATCCACCACAGGAGAACAGGCTGGGAATGAACTCCCAGGTGCCACCTCCTCCTCAGCACAGTCCCAAGGACTCCCAACACCTTCCTCTCCACTTTGCAGGCTCCTGCCTCTCTCCTCTGGCCATTGCTGTGATCACCATGGCACTGCAGTGGCCACAGGCAGCTGCCACCTTCCCAGCCATGCCCCTGTCCAGCCTGTTTGCCAACGCTGTGCTGAGGGCTCAGCACCTTCATCTCCTGGCTGCCGAGACCTACAAGGAGTTTGTGAGTGCTGTGGCCTGAGGGCATCTCCTCTGTGTTTCCTTGGTGGCTCCAGGGCTGTAAAGCTTCCCAGAGAATTCCCAGCTCTTGGTGTCTTTGCCAGCTCTCAGCGAGGAGAAGGAAGCTTAACAGGATAGGGCAGGTTGTGTCCCACCAGCCTGGACACTGTCACCTCTCTGTCCCCTCTCTGATGCCTCCTTGGGGCCATTTCCACCTGTGTCCAGACCCCCTGCACAGGGGTAGATGGGAGGTGGCACAGATATTTTGCAGAATTTTCCTGTCACCTTTGTCCCTGGGGAGGCTCTGAGTGCTTAAACCTGTCAAGTGTTTGCTGCTGCCCAAGAGCTGGCATGAGCTGTCCCTTTGGCACATGCTGTCCCTTTGGCATGGGCTGTCCCTTTGGCACGGGCTGTCCCTGGGGATCATCTCCTCCCCAGGAGAACCTGTCCCAGGTGTGTTCTGTTCCTCCTCCTCCTGCAGTCACCTGGAGCAGTGTCTGCCCACCCTTGTGACACCCTCTGGTGACACTGAGTCACCTGCTGCCCCCGGGCACAGCTGACCCTTACTGAAGAGCATGCCCTAGGGAGAGGGAGAATTTCAGGGCAGCTGTTGTGCCAACACACAAACTCCTGTTTCCCACCCTGTCCAGAGGCACCTCCTGTCTCCCATTTATTCCTTGCAAAGAGGAATCATGCAGGACAACTCGGGAATTCTCTGTGCTCTTCTCCAGCCCACGGGCAGCAGACCTGAGTGTATCTGGGATGTCTCCACAGGAACGCAGCTACATCCCAGAGGACCAAAGGCACACCAACAAAAACTCCCAGGTAGCCTACTGCTACTCAGAAACCATCCCTGCTCCCACAGGGAAGGAGGATGCCCAGCAGAAATCGGTGAGTTCTGACCTGGGGCAGGCACAGACTTGACTGTGGAGTCCCCACTGCAGGATCAGAGCGTTTCCACCTGTGAAACCTTTGGTGCTTTCACCCTCCTCTCTCTTCTTTGCTGTTTAAACCCTGCAGACTCTTCTGGTTACACTATAAATCATATTCCCAGCTCCAGCATGAGAACACTGCTGTCTGCACAGAACCTGGGGCTGTGTGCTGCCCTTAGCCTGCAAAATGAGCTGCAGGAGCAGTGTCCCTCTCTGGGTCACTCCAGGCTGC